ACTACTTGCTCTGGGCCCGGTAGTCTCCCGGGTTCGTGGGGAGCCTTGCGCGGGAGGATGCGCTCGCTTCCCAGTCTTGGTTCACTGCTTCAGGTGCCTCAGCCCCGGCCCCACTTTTCCTGGACAACCCCACCGCTCTCCCGCCGCCACCGCCGCCTCCAGCTTCCCCTCCCCTTGGCATTGCTTGGCTTTAACTTTGCGCAGCTTCTTTTCTTGCCGGGCTGGTTGCTGGGAGGTGCAGTGGGCAGTGGCGGCTCCCGCTGCGAGGCTGGGGGAGGAGAGGGGCCCCGGTCGAGTGCGGGAGGCGGCGAGAGGCGCTGGCTTCTGTAAGCTCTGCCGGTGGGGGGCCGAGGAAGGCTGTCGACTCGGAGGAGGCCGAGGTGGAGGAGGCCGGGGAGGGGTGATGATGGTGTTAAATGTGGCCGCGCAGCTCCCCGGGGAGCTGCCTGAAAGGAGAGTGCGCTCACCAGCTGACAGCGCGTGCTCCGCTCCAGACGCTCCGCACCGCGGCCAGGAGCCTCTGCCAGCCCCTCTATTGTCAACCGTTCTCTAATTAAGAAACACTCACATTACGGCAAACTACCCCCACGCTTCTGGGTTCCTGTCCTTTTCTTTATCTTCCTCCGACTTCTCTCCTCCCCTGCCTTCTCCCCTGCGTCCCAGGATTTAACCCGTTCTCCACTCCCTTGGCCTTTTCTTGTTAGGGGCCTAGAAGAAAGGACCAGGAAACTTCTATGGTGTGGGTTCTGCTTGGCCTAGTGGCCACGGTGGTTGGAAAATGCACACCTCTATTTTATCTCCCCTGCCTGGGGTCCCACCCGCTCTCACAAAATAATTGCAAATATTTCAGCTACTACCGGTCATATTTAACTCTCACCAGAACTTACCTGTTATATATATTTTTTTCTTTCCTTCTAGATTGCAGTTGACAAGTTTGTCATTGACAAGTGGGTCCTCTACTTTCCCTTTCCTGTTCTTTTTGGGGTTTGGGGCAGGTGGAATAAAGTTGATAATCTTTTTCTTCAACTTTTCAACTGGACACAGGAGAGAAATTTTACAAGATATGCTTTAACAAAAGACTGCTTACTTGGTTCAGGTTTAAATTTCTAAAGTCAATAGAAAGGCCTCATGAAAGTATTGGTCCTGCATTGGTTAAGATTAAGGAAATTAGTGTCTCTCTCTCTCTCTCTCTCTCTCTCTCTCTCTCTCTCTCTCCCCCYYCCCCTCTCTCCCATCTAGACCCCAGTTGGCAATATCCCATAAAGAAGGTGTTAAACTTGCCAGTTGCCAAAAATAATCTTCCGTCAGCTCTCCGTGAAATCAAATAAGTTTCCAAAAGTGTGGCCAGCCAAAACCCTCCACAAATAAGTCAGTGATGGGTTGGAAGGCAAAGGCAGAATATAAAGCAAGCTACTTAAAGTATAGAAAATTCAAGAAAACACCAGCAGTGTGGCAAAGGACTAACCCGATTTATCTATCTTCATTACTTTAAGAAATGCTGCCTCTTTGTTTGTTTGGGTGATATTAAGCATGCTTAACTTGCACACATAGTTGATTCCTTTGCTAGTATCTTGGATACTTGGATCTGACTTTGGAAGGTAGAAGCTAATTGCTAATAATGGAGAGAAAGGAACCAGTCAGCATGGCAGGAGTGGTCTGGCATATGGGGAATGAGCGCTCAGAAATACTCAATATTCAAGTTTCCAAAATATTAATGAGATTATAGCAACCTGCAGCTATATGTTACAGCTTGTTAATGGAGTGTAAGAGAGCGAGCTGCCAAACGTTTGTTATGCAAACTCCATAACAGAACCTTAAAATGGAAATGTGATTGTACATCTTTTTCAAAGAAATGCCAGCATAAAAAAATAAATAAAAGGAAAGAAAAGAGGTTAAAGTTCTCATTTGAACTTTGAGCACTCAATTTACCACAAAGTAGTTTGACTTTTTGTTCATGTCTGGATGGGTTAGAAGCATTCATGTTAAGCCTTTAATCAGTGTGATATAGAAATTCCACTCTGATATGGTTGTTTTTCTCTTGAGAAGAAATATAAAGAACTTCCTTAAGTGAAGACAGGGTTATCCCCTATATAATTCCACTAGCATTTAAAAGTATAAATATTTGCTTATGATGACACAGTCCCCACTGGAGCATTTAGATAGCTGTAGCTCCTGTCCATTGATGTTCTTTGAGAAAAGTTCTGTGGGAGCATCGATCTGGTGAACAGGAATACTAAGATTTAGTTTTGGATATTGACCCTTTCTGGCTTTGTGATTTGAGAACAAATTATGGGCAGAAATTTCCTCATTTATGAAAGGTGTGGAGGAAGATGTTCCCGATGTCCTCTCTGTTTTGCAATTTCTGAATTGATTAAAAGTAATGATTTTGATGGGATGTTTTCCTTCTGTGGTTGATACAAAATGAGCATAAATGGTTTTGAAAAATGAAATACAATTGTTTACTTTGAGAAAAACAGTCACATTTTTTCTTCCTCCGGTCCTTACCACTAACAGGTAGAAGATTTTCGGTCCTCTTCTCTCTCTGTCTCTACACATACAGCCAAACACATCGAACAAAGTAGCTATTAAAATATGTGTTTTCTCATTCTACAAGGTTGCTCTATAGCCATGCCTGTTTGGCTTGTTTATTGAGAGTGAGATGGAAGTGTGTTATAAGCAATCGCTTGATTTATTCAACAGCCCAAAGATTCCTGATGCTTATCATAGCACAGCATACTCGGTGGGTGCAAAAGGTTATCTAAAGGACAGGTGCATTGTTTCTGTCCCTGGAAAGTGTCACCAGCTAGCGTTCACCTCGCCCAGAGAGCTTGTGAGGCTCTTGGCTCTGCTTGATCCGCTTCACCTGAAAGCCAAGGATACTCAGGTGGTCAGTTGAAAGTTCCGTGGTTCTCTATGGTTGGTCAGAACCTGTACTTCCTAGCGCATTACTTTTTCTACAAACCCAGGTTTTGGAGCCTGTCAATTTTCTTGTGGTGCTCTCCCCTTCTAAAGGTGCTGAGATAGGAGAATACAGGAGCTTGCAAACTCACCTCTGCTAGCTTTTTTCTTTCTCCTTCCTTCCTTTCATATCCTGCAATTTTAAAAATCCCGATGAAAACACACAACATAAATTATTTTGCTTAAAACCAACCTCTCAAGTTCAGCAATGTTTATCTAGTATGGAATGTCGTGATATCCTAGTTCTCCTATGTTTGCCAAACATATATATTTTAAAATCCCACTTTCTAAACACACACCCACATGCACAGGCACACACACCCAGAGTATTATCTTTAGAATTTATGATCTTAAAATCTCAAATAGAATTTTTTTTTTTAGTGAGGACACCTGAGGTGACAGTGGTAACACCCTTAAGTTTCTTCAACTGACCTTAAATATAGTTGAATGTATTCTGCAAAGAAACCAATTCAGAAGGATAAAATAAGAAAAACATTAAATGTTTCTATATTGGAAGAAGAATTGTTTGAAAAGAAAAACTGAACAGAAGTTAATAATTTCCTACAGCAACCAGCACACTTCTAATTTTTGAATCAATGATCACTAATTTCTCTTATTCCCCGCCTCCCTAATCCTCCTTCCTTCTTAGAAACCCCCTCCCTGGAAAGAAGGGGGGTATGGAGGAAGAGGGGGGCGGAGAAAAGGGGGGAAAGTTAGCTGGTGCTGTGTATTTGACCTACCTGAAAAGTTTTGGGCTTATCTAATTTTTGTAAGTAAAAATAGCTAACCCTGATAAATTTAACTACTAACTAGATCCTAGAAGACCTAAAAGACTATAGTTCCCCTCACAAACACTATTAACACTAGGAGTAAGACTGGAAATTCTGGCTATTCAAAAGGCAAAATTGCTGCAAATTTGGAGAGTTTTATCCCACAATTTAAATTATTGACTCAAGTGCTTTTCTATGTATAGATGCTACCCAAAGGCACTAAGTTTGCAACATTCTTCTTTTAAAATATTAGGTCCTATAAATTTGGATTTGATAGACTACTTCCTTAAAGTCTTCCAGGCTATTTAGAAATCATTTTCAATAGTATAATGGAATGGAATAAGTAAGTGACAAATAAAAGTTCCTTTTCAAGTTTATTGTTATCATTTGCAAATGTAAATACATAAAACAATGGCAGTTGGCTTTACTAAATTAAAATAAAATTATCTCGAGTAGAAAATGTAAAAAATGAATCAAGATAAGTAGAAATGGTAGCAAACACTCAATAATAAATAAGTTTTCTAACAATAACAAAGCAAAATAAAATTGACCAAATGCTTTTGACACTACTAGATATGTTTTTATTTTCATTTTTTTAAACAAACATTTGCAAAGAGCTTAAAGATTATAAGTGGCCGTGTTTAAAAAAAAAAAAAAAAACTGGTCTGCAATTGGCAGTTGAATTTCTCCTGGAGCCGCAATAGCAGCCACTGATAAAGTGCGTGCGCCAAGTTTCCTAAAGGACGCCAACGTTCTGGCGATCGGATGCACATACTGGGTATGTTTATACAATATATAAACTCGCAAAGGTCCCCGTTTTCTAACAATTCCATAGTCAAAAGTTATTCACTTTGGAAGCATTGACTTTGCGATTCATAATGCATTTAGGGAAACAACTTCAGAAGACTTAACTCTCCCACATGAGTGCGCGCAACACACAGGAATGGACGCCCAGGGCATAAAATAAATTAAACCCAAACCGGTGACAGAAAAGATGCGACGTTTTAGCAGCGTGTTGGCAGAAGGGACTATAATAATGATGCCACATCTGGGTACATATAATTATACCATATCTACCTACAGGGGAAAGCAGAAGGTGGAAGGACGGGCAAAGCTTTAACAGCAAGCTTTCATCAAACAATATGAGCCATAGGAAGTTTGGAATAGCGGCGGCTTTTGCAAACCATCAAATGTAGCTGCCATCTGAAGCCAAGTCGTTGCTAAACAACGACCATTGCAAAGCAAAAATTAAAGGGTGCGGGGATATTTAACCGCGGGGCTTCCCGCGCACTGGGAAAGGGCAATTTTGTTTCTGTCTCCGTTTTCAGGGTTTTGTCACCTTTCTAACTTGCCTCATCCGAGTCACTGTAATGGGAATGGGGAGAAAACTCCCCGTCGCTTCTGTGGGACCGGGGGGAAGTTTTGCTACTATCCTCCTGCACTGGCTGCAGGATGCCCCCAGGCAGCGAAGGCGTCAAGTTTTTTTGCGCCATCATCGCTGTCAGGGCGCTGTCCTCGAAAGTCGAGAAGTGCAAAGCGTCTAGCTGCACCGAGTAACCTCCCGCGGAGGCCGGGGCGGAAAAGCGTGTCCGACAACTCCCGGGTGGGGTCGGTCGCTGGCCCCCTCCGGAAGCTGGTTGAGCCCCAGATGCTGTGGCTGTGCCCGAACCGCCTTCGTAGGAGGCTGCAGCACGAAGGTGGTGGTGGTCACTTTTGCAGGAAGCTGGCGGCGGCGATGGCTGCTCCCCGCCGCTGGGGGTTTGTAGCAGCTCCGACAGGGCGTTGATGTAGATCTGGGCCATCTGCAGGGTCTCATATTTGGATAGCTTCTTGTCGTTGTTGAACGACGGGATAACATTGCGCAGCTGGTCAAAGGCATGGTTCAGCCCGTGCATCCTGCGCCGCTCCCTGGCGTTGGCCGCCAACCGTCTTTGCTTCTGCACTCCATTCACCTGTTTGCTGGAAGGGGCTCTCTGGCGGCTGCAGCCCAACTCATCCACCACCACCCCTCCTTTCAGCTTGCACAACTGTTCCCGCACTTTCACCGGTCCTGGACTTTTGCTGACGTTGCCGTCGCTGGTGCTTCTCCTTACCAGATCGCCCCGGCCGTCCGCCTCGTCTTGGGGCGCAGCGGCCTCCGAGGCACCCAGCTCAGGAGAATGTAGCAAATACTGGGCGGCGCGTGCCGTACAGATGCCCTGCAAAGTGGGAGCCAGCCAGGCGCGTGGGTCTGTGCTGTCCAGGAGGGACAGCTCCGCCGGGTAGACTGGATGCTCTCTCGCCTGAAGGGTGGCAGGTGGCTGTGGCGGCGGTTGCGCGAGGTGGTGCGGCTGAGGATGGCGATGGTGGTCCCCCAACTCCTTCACTTCAGCCCACTCTTCAGCATGTAGCAGGCGGGACATTGCACTGCAAAGGCTCGGGGAGGTGCAGTTTCGGAGGCGGCACTGGTAACCCAGCTCAACCAAAACCAGAAACAATAACAAAACCCCCCAAAACCCTGCCTGGGTCTCTTCTGCAACGTCTTATTATTTTTCCTTCTCTTCGACCCTCCCCCACTCACTCTGAGATCACACACCAGGTCGCGTGCAAAGAAGCTTCTCCGGTTGCTGAAGGCGCTGCGCCCCTTTAAAAAGCGGCACGCGCCAGTGTGTCTCCCCCCGCTCCTCTCCCAACCCCCTCCTCGCGCCAGTCGCGTGTCTGCTCAGCCAATGAAGGGCGCGGGCAGGCGCGTGCGAGAAGCCAATCAAAGAGTTTTTACACCCAGAGAAAAGTTCCAGTGTGCAGAGAACTTGGGCGCCCGCTCATTTCTTTCTTTCTCTTTTCCCTCTTCTTCCCTCTTTTAAGTTCCTGACATTCATTTGCTGACTGCGGGCCTGTAATTCGACTCTCCTGTGTGTCACCGCCCAAACCGCGGAGTGCGTGAGCTGGTGCGGACCTGGCTTTCAGCTGGTGCCCCAGATGTCCTAGGTCAGACGTGCGCCGCCACGGGCTGCTCGGGGCGAGGTTGGACGCGCCTGGCGCCGGGAGGGCACTCACAGCTGAGAGCTGGCCCGTCCTGTGCTGCCTCCGAGCTAGGATCACAACTCCCATTGCCCAAACATTTTTAATCTCTCATATATAATATGGTATGTGTATGTATAAAATTTGTGTATAAATATCTCATTTGTGTGCTCATAGATGGAAAACTATTAGATGATGGCTCTCATTTAAAATTACTTAGACTAAAAGAAGGAGAAAACATTAATGTCTCGGAACGTTTCTTAATTTTACTACGTCTTTTCGTGTCTTGCTCCAGAGCTAGTTCGTCTTTGTTATGCAATCTTTTTCTTAATGAAAAGTAAAGCTGTGTACAGTTGGGGTGCACCAAATTCCACTCCTTCAGTGCTCTCCGAGCCGGTTCCTCAGCACCCTTGCAGCCAGTTAGGATTGTGTTCTTCAGAAAACTCTCTGCGGAGTATAATTTTAGGGCAGGGATATCGTATGCACAGTATTATGCATAGAGTTTACACACACGCACACACACAGCAGGACTCCTTACCAGAGCCCCAAGAGAGTGCCCAAATTAAAAAGAAAGGTGCCCGCCTTTCCTGCAATTCTGAACACTTTCAAACTACGGAACCAAAGTAATCTACCTCGGGAGCCCTGGCTTTACTACAGCTCGTGGCTTCTTCTGCAATTACCCAGAAACTACAGCCTAACCCACTTCTCCCCGTGTTTAGTTTAGTTAGGGTGTGTATTCCCCTAGCGCAAAAACCCGGGAGGTCCTTGGCGAGGCTGGGACGCCAACTCCCAGGTGAGCACTCTCCTCTCACCGCTTTAGCTTCTGCCTGGTCTAGTCACAGCAAAGAGCCAATCAGAAGCTCCAGGGCTCGGGCACGCTGTTACTTGCGTCCTGCGCGCCCCAGCTCCAGGCGCTTCCTGCAGCGACCTTGGGGCGCTGGAGTGGGTTGCAACCCTGTTGGTGCTACTGCGGCTTTTGACTTTTGAGGTGGCTGTCGTCCCACAAGCAGTTTCTTCCTCCCGGAAAGATAGTGAAAAGGAGAGCCAGCAGAGTATCCTGGAACCGGTCTTTGCTGGGTTCAGAGGCAACTGAGAGGTGTTGTCTCCAGTATTCACAAGGACTTGATCCCCATCTGCCATCTAGAACTCCTTAGACAGAAGAATTTCTACTACTGGATTGGATTGGTGATACATATATATTCCAAACTGTAGTGTTGGATTGGTTATAAATGATGCTTAATACATCTTCGTCTGTTTTTTACTCATCCTCGTCCATTTGCTGGCATGCAGAAACCGTCCAGGCCTTCTGACCTTAAGAACCAGAAAAGTCGCAGCTGGACTTTTTGAGTGTTTAGGCTTTGTTGAAATAAATATGTTAAATAAACCCCAGCAAAACCAAAAAGCCTAAACCTAGTTGAAAACCATATATGAGAATAATAATAAAAGGTCATTATGTGTATTTTTTGGAGACAAAATTCTCCAATATTTGAGTGAGTGAGTGAGTGGACTGGGTAGTATTGAAATCAAGGAATGGTGCTCTTACCACAATTAATGTTAATATGTAAAATATGCCACTTAAAAATAATTTCTAGTAGCTGTAGGTGCCAAAGTTAAACTTTTGGAAAAAATGATTAGTCATTATTTGTGTATGTATGGCAGTGTAACAGTTAGAGCCCAGAAATATCAAGTCATCTGTATTGCATTTTATACTCATACACTGACTTTCCTGGACTGGATCTGCTGAAAGGTACTGCTGAAATTCTTTCATACACTATCACTACCAAAGGTGTGGGATGTTCAAATGTTCCTTGAACTTTCATCTTCCAAACTTTCTATCTGTACATTAAATGACTGTGTAACTGCAAAATATTCATTTTCCTTTGAGCTCGGATTATGGGTTTCAGCCCAATATTTACTGAATACACAGAATACTGATCCTAATTGGCAGCTTTATAGTTAATTAGCATTATTTCTTTTTTGAAGCCAATCTCAATTTCTAGGTGAGTAATTTAGAGTGCCCCTGTGATGAGTGGATTGTAGGAGTTTCCACAGTTTGTGGTGACATGCATTTATTTTGCCCTTAAAATAAATAGGGAGCTGTCCGCCTCACCTCCTCCTTTTCTCTTCCTTCTCTTCTGTCAGGTGGAGCTGAGGAAGCTAAGCATCTGAGATGGAGAAGGGGACACAGGACCCTGTGCATAATATCAGAACCTGAGCAATGTAAGCCCTAAGGCAGATTGTGAAAAGGGATGCAAGTAGAGTGAGCATCCAAGGGGGCTGGATGGTGGCAACAGCAGCGCAGCCTGAGGGGTTCTTTGTGTGGGGGCAGCCATTAGTTACTACAAAAGAGTTTTTGAAAAAAAGTAAATATCTGAGGATAATGTGAATTGGTTACTCACTATCAGAGAAGGGAAGAAACTGTAGAGTTGGATTAAAATTGGAGATTTTGATATGAAATTATGATTTTACTACATAGGAACAAACACATAAATGTGGTGTGTGCATAAGTGTGTACCTATAGATGTCCTCTTCATTCTCAGAGCTTGACATCAACAATGAGCATGTCTAATTCCAAGATTTCAGTTTCCAAACAAAACTCTTGACCAAAAGGAATCATGGCTTTTTCAAAAATGGATTGAGTCCAGAAATGGAAGAGAAAAAAAAAGCACAAGATGCGCCTGAAATATCTTACTATGTCAGAAATATGAAGTGCTTAAAGGATGATGGAGACGTGTCAAAAGACCACAGAAGCGTGCTTGAAGTCCTTTCCACCGACAAGATACAGGATAATGTAGATACCAAAATAAATAACAATAATGACAGATTTCTTCCCATTTGAAATAAAGGAATCTTATTAATATAAATAGAATAAATAAATACAATGAAGTTTTGATAAATATGTATTGGTTACAAAATACATATTGATTACAAATGAAAGAAGATTGACACTCAATGGAAGTATATGACAAATATCCACTTAATCAAATGATCAAAGTTAACATCACCAGCTATTAGACAAAATGAACTTATGTGCCACTTATTAGAATGCAGAGGACACAGCCTGATATTCCTGTCAAAGATGCCTACCCTTTTCCTTGGTTAGTCAAGATAAAACATTAACCCAGTTCAAACTCAGAAACATTCTAGAAAATAACTAGTTTATCATCTTTCAAAGTGTCAGGATTATAAAAGGCAAACAAAACCTCAGGATTCCCAGCTAGAGAAGACTAAGGAAACATGATAAATCTGATGCCTGATTCTAAACAGGGTCCTTTGCTAATAAAGAATATAATTGGAACAATTGTCAAAGTTGTATAGTGTCCTTGAAATAAATGATAAAATTGATTTCCTGATTTTGATGGTTATAGCTGGTTATTTAAGAGAATGTCTCATTTTTAGGGAATAGTCACTAAAGTATTCAAGGATAAAGGGACAGGTTAATGGTTTTGTTAAAGGGTATTTGCACTATATGTTCAACCTTTCTGTAACTTCAAGATTGCCTCAGAATAAAGAATAAACAATGCAACAGGCAAATGAAACAGCCAAATTTAGTTTGTTCATTATATCTAAAGATACTAATTCAAGTCAATCCAAGAATTTTACCCAGGGTGTTGAGGCCTGTAGTCATTGCAGACACCTTACATTAAATTTTGTTCTGCTCGGCCACAGCAAAGTATGTATCCAATGGGTCTGGGAATTCTCAGCTTTTAATGAATAATTATTGTATATTATTCAAGAGGTGCAAAAATTGAATATTAATTTGAAATGCATTATCTTATGGGTTATTTTAAATAAGAATTTCCAAGTCATGATGGCCAATATTTACTGAATACACAGAATACTGATCCTAATTGGCAGTCCTGATGAGGTCACAAACATTAACAAACAAATAACAAAGAAGTGTTGTTTTTCACTATTGGGCATAGTCTTATCAGTTGACAATTATGCTTAAGAATTAAACATTTCTTCTATAATTCCTATCTGAACTGTATTTCAGAGTAATCAAAGGGCCTGACTTGATGAAAATGTCTTTTTAAATAATTAATATAATAAAGGTAGAAGAAATAAAACATTTAGAAAAATAAACATTTTGCCATTCTTTTTTTTTCCTTTTTTTAATTGGTTGTTCACAACATTACAAAGCTCTTGACATATCATATTTCATACATTAGATTGAAGTGGGTTATGAACTCCCAATTTTACCCCAAATGCAGATTGCAGAATCACGTCGGTTACACATCCACAATTTTACATAAAGCCCAATTAGTAATTGTTGTATTCTGCTACCTTTCCTATCCCCTACTATCCYCCCTCCCCTYCCCTCMCATCTTCTCTCTCTACCCCATCTACTGTAATTCATTTCTCTTCTTGTTTATTTTCCCATTCCCCTCACAACCTCTTATATGTAATTTTGTATAGCAATGAGGGTCTCCC